AGATCGACTACATAATCGCTTTGTCCCAAATTTGAAATCTTCTCCGAACCTATGAACAGTGACGGCCGGACCTCGGACATCAGAACAGCCTTCAAGAACGTGAGCCCCTCCGCCGGCCAAATTGAAGAAGACTCGAGGGTGCCCTCCCCCGAGGATGTACAAGAACAGCCAACAAGCAAGAGAAACATTAGGGCACCCCCCCCGAACCGACCTCGATCTTACACCTCGGTGCGAGCGTGGGGGGTCCGAAAAGAAATGCGTTTACTGCTCGCTGATATACGAACATGTTACGGATGTATCGTTGATTCGACAGAATCAACAAGGTTGGGGCACATCAATTCTGTAGTCGGGCTCCTGCTCGAGAGAAGCACGACGGGAGATGTTGGGCCGCTCCGCTTCGCGGGCCCCGTCTTCGGATTCTCCGTATTCTGGGCGGCTTCGCAAGTATAGGGCGGCATTTCCCGCCCCGGTTTCCAAACTCCTGTGATGACGATGTCCGCGCTGCTCGGCCGTCGCAGGGACCTCCCGACCTTTGCGGAAATCTCCTCCCGACTGCTCCGAGGCGGAGGTGTCCGCCCTACTGGTTCGCATCGTCTGCGTTGTGTGTCCGACGCAAGGTCAAATAGGAGGGAGGAGCATGGGGCATTCGCGCTTCAAGGGGGGGCCTCCCCAAAGCAGAAAGGAATGCCTGCAGGGGCCTCTGGCGCGGGGGCCTGGGACGTGTAGGCGCATTGCAGCACCGCGGATGCGCCTCGGGTTCACTCCAGTCCCCTTCCCGCTCCTCGGACGCACCCTGGCGCGCAGCACTGTCCCTGGCCTCCCTCTCGAAGGACGCGCTGAGATGCCGTCCTGGCCTGCGGCACGGCGCCGCCCGAACGCTCGAACTCTGCGGGCCGAGCGGAGCCAAGAGTGCGCACGGCCAGGCCCACGACAGAACATAACTCGTCAAGAACAGCTATTTTCCCCAATAAGCCACGAGCCCTGGACGATTGGCACCGAGCCGTGAGACGGAGCACCTCTGGACAAGCCGAGAGCGCCACGCGCGATGTCAAGCACAACGAAACGCCAGCCGAGGGGGAGAGAGGGGGGCGAAACCCCTTCAAGAGCAGGAGGCCCTCCGCCGCGAGCCAGACGGCAGAGCAGTCCAGGGCCTCCCCCCGGGATGCACGGGAACAGCCAACAAGCGCGAAGAGCATCAGGGCACCTCCTCCTCCTCCTCCTCCTCCTCCCTCTCCGAGCCGACGTCGACCTCATACCTTCGTCCAGCCGTGGCAGATCGACAACGGACTTGATTTGCCCCCCAGCCTTTCGTTTTCGTGGTGCTTTCGTTGTCCCTCGTTTTGCCTTCGCTCCGCCCTCGCTGTACAAAGCGAAGCCGCAACGAAAACGGCCCCACGGAATCGCCCGAACACCGTTCAGGTCGAGCCCTGGGGGAGCAACTGCGACTACGACGACGCCGCCGCCGCCGACGACGACGACGAGCGCTCCCGGGGGCCTCTCGGAAGTAGTCTTGGGACCCCTTGGGAGGGTCCTGGGGCCTCTTGGTCGGGGGCGCCGATGGTCCAAGCTTCGGCGAGGGGAGGAGGAGGAGGAGGAGGAGGAGGAGGAGAAGGAGGAGGAGGAGGAGGAGGAGGAGGAGGAGGAGGAGGAGGAGGACGCCCGCTCCTGGGCGGCTCGCCCCCCACCATCTCGGGCCTCCGGCGCCTCGACCGGCTCGGTGGAAGGCCCCGAGGCCCGGCAGAGGGGGCCCCGGGAGGCCGCGAGACCTGGGGAAGGCTGCCGCCGCGAGTGCCTCGAGCCGTTGGAGGTCTGGGGCCCGTCGCCTCCTGAGGAACCTCCCCGGAGATCCTGGCGTTGCCGTTTTTTTGGCACCGGGCGTTGTCGCTGGCCCTCGGGCCCTGGGACCCTGACAAATCGATCGGGCTCGAAAGATGACGCAGGAAGATGAGGTCCAGGGTTCCGGGCGCGAGGAGGAGGAGGAGGAGGAGGAAGGCAGAGAGGATGAGGAGAGGAGGGAGGAGGAGGGAGGAGGAGGGAGGGAGGAGGAGGAGGAGGAGGAGGAGGAGGACGCAGGAAGATGAGGCCCAGGGTTCCGGGCGCGATTTTTCGCGATGTCGCAAGTCGATTGCAACGTCGGAGCTCAGGGTCGGCGGAGAGCCCCGGGGGGGCGGACGCGACAAGGGGCGGGCCCTCTCCGAAGGCTCGGAAGTGCGCAAGTCTCGCTGCCTTCTGGGAAGGCCTTCCGAGAAGGTGTCTAAGTCCCGCTGCCTTCTGGGAAGGCCTTCTCCTTCTCACGTCCCCCCCTCGCCCGCCGCCGAAGACCACCGCCCAGCGGGTCCACGGCGTGAGACAGCAAGCCGCCGGACAGGCCGAGCGCGCCACGCATGCTGCTGCTGCTGCTGCTGCCCCAATCCCCCTCGTCTCTCCTCGGGGTCCCGCCTGGAAGCGGAGGTCTGAGGACAGGTAGTCGGAGTGGATCACCATGCGCAGGTAGTAGTGCTTATGCGCCTCCGCGCCCCCAGGGGGCCGCGACCACAGGGGGGGGAGAGGGGGGGAGCGATGCCACTCGCGAGGCTCTCGCGAGGCTCACGGGCGCAATCACCCATCCCGCGAGGGGGTGGGGGCGGGGGGGCTCGATCCCATGTGCTCTCGAGCCTGGATCACAGATTCCCCCTCGCCCTCCCCCTCCCCCTCCCCCACCTGATGCCCCGCTGGGAAATGTTGTGGCCAATCGGAGCTGGTGCAGGTTCTCGACGTGAAGCTCGCAGGTCTGGCTGAAACTCCCAGATCGCACTCAAGCCACTTCTCGGGAGCGGCAAAGAGGGGGGTGTCCAAGGGGGGGGGGTGCAAATCATGACCAGCGGCATGTGCGCGGCCCAACGGGGGGGCCAGGGACATAATGAAATAAGAAGAGGCGCCATGAAATCTGGGGAAATATCATGCCCCCCGCCATGATATCCCCCCCCCCCTAATCATCACCCCCCTCTTTTCCGCCCCCGAACTCCTCCCCTCCGCATCTCCCCCCTCCGCTCCCCCTCCCGCGCGGCCCTCTCCCAGAGCCCCCGACGCTGGGGCCCTCTCACGACCTGGGCCCCCGGAGCCCTGCGCAGACCCCTCATCTCCAAGGACCGGTTCCTCCGGCATTGTTTTTGACGCCCCCCATGCGGGCCCGGAGTGGCCCCCAGGGGGGGCGAAAAACGCGGACATAAATCTAATCAAACACTCCCGTCGTGTTTGTTTCAAGACGCGGGTGGGTCTAGGTCCTCTTCCCCCGCCCTCCTTCCCCTTCGTTCGCCACCCTGTGCCCCACTGTTTCCCTTCATGTCCCTCGTCCTCTTCCCTGCTCCTCTGTCTCCGCGGCTTTCACAGGGCTCCAACGTCGGGATTCCGAGCAGGGGGTCGACTACAGAATTGATGTGCCCCAGAACCAAGTCTTCCGAAAAATACGTAGACTGCTCCGTAGATCCACGGCACATTCTATCTATTTTGGTTCTTTTCGCAGAGTCGATGAGATAACATCAGACTTGGGGCAGATCAATTCTATAGTCGATCTCCTACCCGAAGATTTCTGGACCTCTCCCCCGGGACCCGCTCGTCGTCCTGCTTACTCGTTGCCGACGGAGGAGGAGGAGGAGGAGGAGGAGGAGGAGGAGGAGGAGAAGGAGGAGGAGAGAGAGGAGGAGGAGAGGAGGAGGAGGAGGAGGAGGAGGAGGAGGAGGAGGAGGAGGAGGAGGAGGAGGAGCTTCTCACGACACGAGGGGGCCTGCTCTCGGGGTCACATGTCGAACCCCTGGCGGCCGCTCGAGACGAATCCGGCACCCCACCGGAACGTTCTCCCTGAGGCGCAGCGGCATGGGAAGCACCCGAGGGCTGGAACACCTGTGAGAAGAGACGAACGCGCGATGGGGGCGGTCTTGGCACCCCCTCGGAACGCTCTCGGCGAAGGTGCAGCTGCTGGAGGGCACCCTGCGGCTGGAAGACCTTGTTGGGAGCCGACGCGACCGTCCGAAGACAACCTACTTGGGAGCCGACCGGAGCCCCTCGGCGGCGAGCCTGGGGGGAAGTAAGAGGTGGCGGGCCTTCTCAAAGGCAGCGGGGCTTCTCAGAAGCCCTCGCGCCTTCTGAGAAGGCCCGCCCCCACTGACTCTGCGGGCCCCAAGAATACACACCGACCACCACCACCACCACCACCACCACCACCACCAAACCTTCCTTCTCTCCCTTCTCCGCCCTCTTCTCTTCTTTCCTGGGAGGGGTTGGGTAGGGAGGTGGATGGTGGTGGTGTTGGTGGTGGTGGGTGGGTGGGTGGTGTGTGTTGGTGGTGGTGGTGGTGGTGGTGGTGGTGGTGGTGGTGGTGGTGGTGGAGGTGGTGGTGGTGGTGGTGGTGGTGGTGGTGGTGGTGGAGGTGGTGGTGGTGGTGGTGGTGGTGGTGTACCAGGAAGCTAGACACACGCGCGGCTGGATTCACATGTGGAACATCTGGAGGCCACCTGCCGGATGCACACGCGGAGGACCGCCGTGCCTGGCCACACGAGGGCCGAGCGCTGGAGCCACACCTGGCCACGTGTGTATCCAGCTCTCGCCCGGGCTGGCCAAATCATGTGCGTCCCACTTCCTGGCGCATGTTGTGAGGCTTGGGTCGGGCCCGTCCCCCTTCAGGGGGATCTTAGGCGAAAAAAAAGTTGCCACACGAATAGCCCCAATTTGGTCAAACATTGTCGAACAATCGTCCCCAGACTATTCTTTGACTATTTTCGAATAGTCCTCCTGTAGAGGGACAGGCCCGACTTACTTGTAGGCCCCTCGCCCTTCCCACCAGGGCCGGCCGCCGAGCCTCCTCGCGAGCGCCGACGGGGGACCCCCGACCAGACCACCTCGGAGGTGGCCCCAGAGGGCGGGCTTCGTGCGGGGGGGGCGCGCGGCCCGCCATCTCTTCGGTGACGGTGACGGCCTCGCTCCAGACGTTCTCCATGCTCGCGGTCGGCAGGAAGCTGATCGGCACCCTGCGGCGCCCGCGCCCGCGCCCCTCCTCAATCCGCTCTCCCTGCTCTCCCTCCTCCTCGCTCCTCTCGCTCTCTCCCTGCTCTCCCCTCCTCGTTCCTGTCCCCCTCTCTGCCTCTGCCCCCCTTGCGTGGGCCGCGTGAACAGCCGACACCCGTTACGTCGTCTTCTCTTCCTGGGCCGCTGCGGGGGGTTCCCCGAGGCCGCGCCGCACTTCCCTGGGCGCCGAAGCGCGCACGCCAAAGCGTGCCAAAGCTGGTGCCTCCCTCAGAACGCGCAGACGGGCCTTTCAGTGGTCTGATCACCGCCGCCCGACAAGTTTTTCCAGTCGGGGACCCCAATAGTTCGCGCCAGTGGGGAGGTCTTCCCCCCCTCCTTCCGTCATCTGCCCTCCTCCGTCCCCCTGCCTCTCCCGCCTGCTCCTCCTCCTCCTCCTCCTCCTCCTCCTCCTCTTCCTCCTCCCACTCCTCCTCCTCCTCCTCCTCCTCCTCCTCCTCCTCCTCCTCCTCCTCCTCCTCCTCCTCCTCCTCCCCGCCTCCTCCTCCTCCTCCTACCTCCTCCTCCTCCTCCTCCTCTCCTCCTCCTCTCCTCCTCCTCCTCCTCCTCCTCCTCCTCCTCCTCCTCCCTCCTCCTCCTCCTCCTCCTCCTCCTCCTCCTCCTCTACTCTCCCTCCTCTCTCCTCCTCCTCCTCCTCCTCCTCCTCCTCCTCCTCCTCCTCCTCCTCCTCCTCCTCCTCCTCCTCCCTCCTCCTCCTCCTCCTCCTCCTCCTCCTCCTCCTCCTCCTCCTCCTCCTCCCTCCTCCTCCCTCCTCCTCCTCCTCCTCCTCCTCCTCCTCCTCCTCCTCCTCCTCCTCCTCCTCCTCCCCCTTTCTCCCTGGTGTGGCCCTCCTCTTTCCTCCGTCGGCAGGCGAGCAGCAGGGCACACGAAGAGGCGTGCCCGCGGGCGCCGTGGGCGTCCCGAGGGCGCCTCGTGCGCTGGGCTGGGCGGGCGGGCCGAGGTCTCGCCTGGTGCCCACCGGTGGGCGCCGCGTGCGATGGGTGGCAGCATACATCGGGCCGGGCGAAAGGGGGGGATAGGGCAAAGGGGGGGTTTGAGAATCAGCTCACGCAGCTGATTTTCCCGGCGCCTCCCGGCGCCGGAGCCGGCTATGTATCGAGGAATGGGCCCCTCGGTGGGGCCGAAACCAGCTGCATGCAGCAGATTTCGTCCGGCCCGAATACAGTCGGGCTTGCTTAGACAGGACACGCGAGAGGACGCACGAGACCCTTCCGAGGGCCACAGCGCCACGGGAATGTGCCAAGGCACGTGCCGCGAGACACAGGACACAGAGGGTACCCTGGATCTGGCAGGGTCGACCTGCTACTCCGGGCCGCCTGTAGACTGTTGCACTTCGAAGCGTTGACCATTTACTTTGCACCACATAACTTGCCCCACGCAGCGTTCACCACGCAGCTTACACCCCACAGCTTATGCACAGATGTTAACCCGCACAGCCTACCCCACACAGCCTGCACCACACAGCTTGCACCACATATATTTCGCCACATAGCTTGCATCACATAGCCTGCACCACATAGCCTGCACGCATATCTGACACATCAGCGGTGCAAAAACGTACTGCTTGGGGCCCTCTCCCTTCACCATCTGCGAGCAAAAGCTGTGCTCACCCGGAGCGCGTCCTGATGGCCTTCCACTTCGGCGTGGTGACGTGATCCCCGTCGGGGTGGGCGACGGTCAAGGAGGTGAGGTCGGTCGCAGCGCGGATGCACTTCTTGGTGGCATCCTGGAACGAAGATGAGAGGCGGGCGACACACGCACTTTATGCTGACATGCGCGAGCGTACACATGATGCCAGACCTGCTTGGGCGCTGGTTTTCGAGATGGCATGCCTGCTCTTACACATTGCCCAAAGCACAGAATGTTCCATACAATGTGCGTGTCGAACAGCCTTTCCGCTAGATCTGTACGGCTTCCTGCCTGGCTGCCTTCGAACGTTGGGCAACCGACTTGTTCGATAGCCAGATCCGAACAAACACGCACACACACACACACACACACACGCACACACGCACACACGCACATACGCACACACGCACACACGCACACACGCACACACACACACACGCACACACACGCACACACACACACACACGCACATGTAAGTGTGTATGCAGATGTTGATGTGGCTGAGTGAGATAGACGCTTCAAGCTCGCGTGCTGGCAACGTCGCCACAATCATCCACACGACCCAGGGCTGCGCGAGGGGAACCGCAGATGGAGACTGGTGCGGCTGGCTCCTGCCGCCTCGACGCGCGAGCTGGTTTCGGACATCTCGTAGGCCGGCCAACCCAGAAGTACGACGTCAGGTTTTTCCCGTACGGGGTGCAGGCCCAGGGCTGTCCTTCGTTCAGATGCGTCCCGCTTGTCCCCTGGTGCCATGCTGGGGTGGGCCGGCGGAGTTTCGCTCGATGCATGAAAAGTAAGATGTGGGTCTCGATG